ACCTGCTGCACCACCAGGGAGGGCCCACAATGCTATATTTTAATAAAGCTGTTTATATTGTGCTGTATTGTTTCAAGGGGTGGAAGATGTCACCAATTTTGGTATTTCATGGAACCTGAACATTTTAAAAGTTAGGATTATTCCCAAAATGATTGTTGAGATGGGTATAACACCTATGTTGTGAATAAAAAGGGTTTACTATACTTGTTTACTTAACACACTGTTATCCATTGGTACCTGTCAAATGGATAGGGTATAATGAATATAATAGATAGGAAATAATGCATATAGTCCATCCACAATGGTCACAGATATATAACAGTGTCTGCTGTGAAAAATTTCAGTGTCTAAATCTATCAAATCAAGGAAAAACATGCCTGCCCCATGAGGTATTATGAAGAGTAAATAGGAAAATGCATATGAAACTCAGTATCTGACATGTAACAGATACTCTTTATGCTTACTACTGGCTATAGTGGGGGAGGGGAGGAGGAGAGTAGAAAAAGAAGTATGACAAAGCATTTGTGAAGAGAAAGCTGGTGGCCAAAATGCCAATCAAATGTTAGGTTGGACATCCTAAGTATAAACACAGAAATACTTTAAAATCTGAAGATAGGATATCTTGAATAAGCAATAGCAAAATAGACATCTCAGAGCAACCTCTCCTTTTTCCACTCTGCCTTGAATCAGTTTCTTCAGAGTCTTTCTTGCAGAAAAAAAGATAACCTTTGATTTGTTTTTAGCCACTCTTTCTCAGAGAAGTTTCATCTAGAAAAGACCTACAATTGTCATATCATCATTCTTAACATCAAATATTCACTGAGCAGTGTCTAAATGTCTGGTTTCTGGAAACACTAAAGTTCTGCTTTCATTTTTTAAGAGATGGCTCTTTGTCTCCAAGCAATTCTGGAAACCACACAGATTTAAAAATAGGATATTAAGACTCTACAATCTCCCTGCTAATAATTCATATCTGACAGGGCCCCTAACTATGAAAAATTAATTTCAAATAACTAATGTTTGGGGGTGGAAGGTTTAAGTGAAGTTTAAATTTAAAAAACCCAAAGGACCACTTTATCAGCCCTCCCTCCCCAAATAAAAACACATACTTGGGTCAGTGTTCATGAGACTGAGATGTACCTGTCACAGACCTGGTGGTTAGACCTTGGTTCTTCAGAAAAGCAAGATCACTAGGATAGTGGGCCCTTCCTGGTCAGAACGCCCAACACACACTTGGGAGTTACTAGTTTCAACAAATCAGCACAATCACCTGCTCATCTGACTAAGCACTTTCATTCATGATGAATGAGAAGTTTCTAGTAAAAGACCTTCACCCATTTTTAATAACTTTGTGTTATTACAAAAGCCTAATATACAACACAAAAAACCCAAAACACAAAGTAGTAAAAGTTAAAATCATTCTATTGCCTGAAGATAATCATTATGTTGAATTTCATTATCCTTCTCAATTTTCTATACATTTTTAAGCAAAATGATCTTGTATACTTATTTTATAGTCTTCAAAAAAAACATAGCTCATTGTAAACTGCCCCCACCCTGCCCTGGTACTTATTTTTCTAGATTACTATCTTTTATTACTGTAGAGCATGCTTTGGAATGAATGTCTCATGATTCTCAAACAAATGCAGTATCATCCATTCTGGAATATTTAGAAAGATCAGGAGGCATTTCTTTTTTTTTTTTAATATCCTAACATTTGGCATTTCGTGAGCAGAGATAAACACTACAGAATAAACTGTGAAAATTATTCAGTCCCCAAAATCAGTATTATTTCAGTTGAGATATATTATACTAATCTGTACAGTGGAATATCCTGCTCATTTTGAACTTAGGGACTAATTTAAATCATAGCAAACACTATGCTTACTAAAAAATGTTGGTGCTTATCTGTATTTCCTAAGGTCATGTTCCAGAAAGTATATTATTTGACCAAAGTCTATGCACCCTCAACCTTCTGATGTATTTTGCAACCATGTGCAAGAAAAGTTTCATCAATCTATCTACACTCTGCCAATGAGGCTTATACCAACTTGCTAATAAGTAACATTGTACAGTTGACGTAACAAAAACTGAACTGGGTTTCTGGAGGCCAGTTTAATCCCTTAAATGCTGTAACACCATAAGCAAGTCATTAAATTTCTTGGAGTATTGAGTTCAGTAAAATGGAAATAACACCTACATGCCCATCTCAAAGGCTCCTTAAGTAGGCCAAATAAGAATGCATTTGGAAATTTGCCCAGTATAAAAACTAATTGTAATAGCAATCATATCAGAAGGGGTTCTCTTATAAGTTGAAGAGAAAGGGAGAACCAGAAATGAAAAGTTAAATGTCTCCAAAGCCAGGCAGTTACCTGAATAATGTAGGCCAGGTAAACAGGCCTCAAGACTGAGGATGCGTTAAAGACTAAAACGAAGGATCACAGATGCTACTCAGCTTCTAATAATGGAATAATTTTTTCTTTTTAAAAAATGTAGAGCCAGTGTTGACAAAGTTTTCAACTCCTCAGAGCAACTACAACTCTCCAAAAAATATTTTAAACACTATGAAGACCAAACATCCCATATCTCGCTCATATATTTTTTAAAAAAATATTTTACTTATTTATTTGCATACAGAACTGGTGTACAGGCCAGAGGTGCAGGGGTGGTGAGAAGATTCACCAGAGATAGAGTGGGGAGCAGAACAGGCAGACTGACAAAGTACACTGCTGAGGGGAGCAGCAAGAGAGACAGGAGAGGTGTGACACGCCATGTGAATCACCTCCAGGTCGGGATCAAACTCACACTGAAGTGGCTCGCTTGCCATGCTGTGCTCTAACCAGCTGTGCCACCAGGGAGGGCCCAGAGACATACATTTTCAAACTCTATCTTAAGCTTTCATTCTTATTATTTATGCATATAAGACTGGGGTACAGGCCAGAGGTGTGGGGGTGAGAAGATTCACCATAGGTAGAGTGGGGATCAGAATAGGCAGATCTACTGAAATACACTGCTGAGGGGAGCAGCAAGCAATACAGGGGAGGTCTGCTGTCCCATGTGGGTCAACTCCCTGGCCAGGGATCAAACTTGTGCTGTAGTGGCTGTGGAGAACTTCATGGGGCTGCACTTTAACCTGTTGTTCCACTAGGGAGGGCCTTATCTTAAACCTTATTCCCACCAGGATTCTCACCAATCACTATGATATGTCTGTTCTTTTTGCAGAAACGGGCGGCTCTTAGGGGTTTGTGCCAGTGTGGATAACTGCCGGCTGTTTGTGGGGGGAATCCCAAAAACGAAAAAGAGAGAAGAAATCTTATCAGAGATGAAAAAGGTTACTGAAGGAGTTGTTGATGTCATCGTCTACCCAAGTGCTGCAGATAAAACAAAAAACAGGGGCTTTGCCTTTGTGGAATATGAGAGCCACAGAGCAGCCGCCATGGCCCGGAGGAAACTTCTACCAGGTCAGCATCCTGTCCTCAAGTATGAGACTTTTCCACTCCATTTTGCCTTCTCCAGGTCACCTGGACTTTTAGCAAAGAAACTGAATGTGATTTTGAGTGTTCTTACTCCACAGTTTTGCTTGTTATGTTTTAAACTCTTCACCTTTCTTATTCACAAATAAGATAATCTTGGTTCCTTGAAGTTATCACTGACAAGTTCTGAAAAATGCCATTAGAGGCATCCAGTCTAATTTACGTGCACTGAAGAAATCCAGAATTTCAAATTACAACAACTCTGTAATGAATCCTCAAAGAATTTTCTCAAAGTGAATAATTTCTTAAAATTAGACATATCAATCAATAGTTGCCTTATGTATTGGTTTTGTTATCAGGCTTACTAAAATTAGGTAACATCATCTATTATAATGTAGAAATAAATCTACAAGTAATATGTTACCCAATGGCAATTAAGTGATATATGTCTATTAGGAATCCTAAGTGCCCAATAATTCCTGAGTAATTTGGGAACTAGAAATGATAGCTCTCTATGGATAAGCACCTTTGTTAGGTGCTATAGCCACAGGGTAAGTCCCATTGGTACAATACTCATCCACTGCACCAAGTTACTGCCTCAGTCAGATCATCCTGAGGAAAAATTGTTAAAAAATCTGCAGTCCATTCTAAAATAGTTGCTAAAACTTACATAAAGTAAGGTATCAAAATAAGATAATCTCAATAATGCCAGACTAGACACACTGAAACAAACTCTTCTCATGAACATGATGAGACAGCCACCAGACTCAAACAAAACAAAAATATCAGTTAACAAATCTACAAATAAATGTAGATTTACATTGTCTTTAGACACATTCCTAATAACAAAAGAAATAGTTAAATGAGCCCTGTAGAAATTTTCAAAATTAGAAGCTGACTTCTTAGTTTGAGGAAATTGGATAAAGGCAGATTTAATGGAAAAAAAAAAAAACACATAGGAGAAAGCTCCCCAAACTGCTAAATCATTAAAGAGGTGGGTATTTCTTTTAAGTTGAAGCTTCCATTTCCTACTTCCTCACTATGCAGTGGTCATCTGACTCACAGGCAAACTGAAATGTCACTTGGAGTCATACCTAGTCTCTCCACGATATAGACTTAGTGTTTTATTATCCTCTTCAATTCCTCTCTCTTCAGCAACAACAAATACATTATTGACTCGTCCTTCATACCCACCTTCTTCTCGAGAGTCAGTATAATAGTAGCATAAACAGATGATCCAAATTAACGATGTTTTGGACAATGGTGAAAAAGCAGTACATATTTAGTAGAAACAATACTTTAAATTGTGAATGACAGCCTTCTGCTTTTCACTTCAATATAACATTCAATAAATTTCATGAGTGATTCAGCACTATTATTAAACAGACTGTTGGATGAGTTTGCCCTACTGTTGGTTAATGTAAATATACTGAACATGCATCTATACCTAGGTTAGGCTATGATATTTGCTAGCTTAGATGTACAAATTTACTTTCAGCTTACAAAAGGTTTATAGAACATCATCATAAAGTCAAGGGTGATCCCCATACTTAGATTACTTTTTTTACTATCTTCAAATTATTCTACCAGCTTTGCCTTTTCTGTGATCCTCTGCTTACTCCATCCTAAATATAACCATGAGATTAGTGTTCCCAAGTACCATGTTGACCTTTCACAGAATCCTTGCAAATAAGTATATATCGATAGGTTAAGTGGTGTCCCTCATTTAACAGTTCAAAAATATGCATGGACTTCTCGCTGTATCTGGGGTATGAGTAAAGGCCTCTCCTTCATGGCTCCAATCCTTTATACTTGTATTTTCTATGTTTTGTTTCCCAATATAGCTCCCCTTCTGTCAGAAAAAAACTCCTCAATGTCCTGGATAATGCCACGCTCACTTCTTTTATATTCCTAATGCTGTATCCCTTACTAGAACAGCTACATCTCCCCCCTCCACTTAATAATGGCAGTCAAAGACCTCAGGTCAGCCACTTCCTTGACAAAGTGTCACACTTTCAGTCCATACAAGTCACTTCCTTCCTCTATTATCTGTATATATATAAAAAAAAAAAAAAACGAGCATATGCATTCATCTGGGGAGTAGGGGAAGATGGCAGAGAAAGAGGGTTCAGAATAGGAGAAAAAGAGTTTCTAGGGTCCAGACAATCAGTGTTCCTGGACAATCTGATCTCCCCATTAGTTTCCTTTTTTGTCAAAGAAAACAGCACACTGACCCACAGAAAGAGCTTCTGACTTTACCTGAGTCAACTGACTACACTGGGCATTGCCAAACAGCTGAGCTTCAGCATTCTCTTTGAGGGTCCAGCAACAGAAAAACTACCTCAAGCTCCCCATCACTATCTTTATCATGATCTGAGCCACCTCATCCCCCTTGCCTAGGACCCTTTGAGTTGGCTTCAATTGAGTTGAATTTCATTCAGCTCAGGGTAGTCAAATGACCTTCCTCACAGACTACCAAGATGAAACACAATGGGAAGCGAACCAACCAGGCAAACCTTCATTCTCTGAGGCCTGAAAGTAAACTCTAAGGCTCATTTGCACACTCTACCTGTTATCTCACTGTAGATTCAACAATAACAAAGGACTTCAGTAATGGCAATCCTCTGGGGAGCCTTGTTGTACATAATGAGATATTTAAGAAACATGATCAAGAAGCTTTTCCTTCTTAATTGATTCAGGCTTGAATACAAAGAGAAAAATGTTGTCTAAAGTAATACATTGATTCCCCAGCATCCTACCTTTTCTGTTGGCAGCCATAGCTCACATGATGAAATGAGGGCTGTGTTTGAGTGTTTGGAAAAAATCTAACTTGGAGATTATTAATCCATTCTAAGGACTTTATGGAAAAATGATCTAAAGGTGGTTAGCCTGCTTCAGAATCACTTGGAAATTAAAGTACAAATTCTAGGGCCCCACCACAGGAGTTCCTGATTCAGTAGGTCTGCTGTAGATCTGATAATCTGCTTTATCGCAAGTTTCCAAGGTGATGCTGCTCCTGCAAACACTAATCTAATTCAATAGTTTTGCAACACTGGCTGCAAATCTGAACCACCTGAGAAAGTTTTTAATACGACCAGTACCCACATCAGCTTCTAAAGAAATCTGCCTGTCTAGGGTAAAGCATAAGTTTTCATTATGTTTCAATTGTGCAGCCAAGTTTTGTGGACTCTGTTAAATCTATCAACTAACACTGGACATTAACCTGTAGGAATAATACATAGGGTTAGCTGAGAAATTACTCAGTATGAAAACATTTACTAGACATCTACAACAGACATTGTTCTTCTTTAAATGACTTGGGAGATTTTTTTTTAAAAATCAGACTTAACCACTGCAGTCAAAGAGTACATATTTTGAGGAAACTAAACATTTCAGAAAATAGACAAAAACCAAAACATAATATTAATTATTTTTCAAGTGACAAACTAACACCTTTATATGCATGGTCTTCTTTTAATCTTCAAAGTAACCTGAATAATTATTTTTACTATACCAATTTTAGAATTGAGACTTAGAAGGAGTATGTTTCCTAATCAGGGTCAATGATCTCACATCTGGGTTTTTCTGATACCATTGAACATCATCATGTTCCCAGTCACTCTGCAACACTGACTCCTGAAAAGACATTTAATAGAATATACCTCTTTCCAGGTGAGGTCTCCTTTCTGTTCACTCAAGCTTCTGCAGATCTTCAGTTCTGTGGATACTCACCATGGTTCCAGATTTGGGAAGCAAATACCAATGTGTTAGAACAGCAGTTCTCAAACCTAGCTGCATGTTAGAATTCACTGAGGTGAGGGGCCTGCCTGGTGGCACAAGTTAAGTCTCAGCACCAACAAGTTGCTGCTAGCCACTGCAGCTCCCGTTTGATCCCAGACAGAGAGGTGACCCACATGGTGCAGCAGACCTCTCCTGTCCCATCCACTGCTCCCCTCAGCAGTGCATTTCAGTCTGCTTGTTCTGCTCCCCACTCTTACTCTGGTAAGTCCTCAAACTTTCCCATACCTCTTGTACATATAAATACACCCAGCTCTTGTATGCGTAAATAAACAAAAATAAATCTTAGAAAATATCACTGGGGTGTCCCTCCCTGGTGGCGCAGTGGGTTAAAGCACAGCACCAAGAAGCTTAAGCCACTTCCGCATGAATTCAATCCCTGCCTGCCCCGAGGTGACCACATGGCGTGGCAGACCTCTCCTGGCCCGCCCGCTGCTCCCCTCAGCAGTGTACTTCGTCGATCTGCCTGTTCTGCTCCCCACTCTGTCTCTGGTGAATCCTTTCACCCTCCACATCTCTGGCCTGTACCCCAGTTCTGTATGAATAAATAAATAAATATTAAAAAAAAATATCACCAGGGTACTTTAAGAATCATGGTGTTCAGACCACTTATACCAGAATTGGAAGGGGCAGGATTTGGGCTCATCAGTGATTTCGTAAACCTTCAACAGCCAACTCCAAAGGGAAAATCAAAAGCATTAACTTGCAGTATTTGTGGATTTTCATGACATTAATATTCCCAACATAGTACATTTCAAGTAGTCAAGATAAGAATACCAATCAGATCACAGAATTCTGAAAATTTTGCAGTATATTCTTACATGTGCCTCAGAACAGGCAAAATCACTGAAGAGTAGAAATCAGGCTTCAGTGCTTTTTAAATTTCTTTCAATGTGGGGCCAAGGTTGAGATCCCTAGGCTACAGAAACCAGAGTAACCTAGGATCTATAGGAATCTTGAGATAAAACAAGCAGCAAAGTCTGTATAAAGCACAGAACAGAAAGGAAGGAAAGCAAAAGGAATGGGAGGAAAGTGGAAAGGGGATAGGGAAGGAGGGAAGAAGGTTAGAGAAAACTGCACTCTGGGATACAGTGCAGTAGGAGTTATCAGTCTCCCTAAAGGCTACTATTTAGATTTTAAAATGTTGGTACCTGGCCCTCCCTGGTGATGCAAGGGTTAAAGTGCAGCACTATGAAGCTATCTGCAGTCACTGTGGCACAAGTTCGAGCCTTAAAAATAGAAATAAATTAATTAAATAAATAAATATGTCAGTACCATGAGCACTTTCTATTCTTTTCTTTTTTATAAAGATTTATTTATGTATACAAACAAAAACTGGGGTAAAGGCCAGAGGTGTGGGAGGTGAGAGGATTCACCAGAGACAGAGAGAGGAACAGAATAGGCAGATTGACTGAAATATACTGCTGAGGGGAGCAGTGGGCGGGTCAGGAGCTCTCTGCTGCGCCATGTGGGTCATCTCCGCGGCGGGGATCAACCTCGTGCTGAAGTGGCTATGGATAGCTTCATAGCAATGTTCTTTAACCTGTTGTGTCACCAGAGAGAGCTCCCATGGGCATCTCATTAGCTGCTTTTCAAAGAATAAAAAGATGTGTTTGGGCTGAAAATAATTGCCTCCATTGTGCAATATAATGAAATAATTACCAAAATTAAGAATTTTTGATGTTTTCTCTTGATTTTTTTATTACTTCTATAATACAGCTTGTTCTGAAACAGTTAATAAAAACCAACAAGATTTTCCATCAATTTAGAAACTGAGTGGACCCTCAACCTCTTCTCATAACTGCAACATGGATCTGTACCGTTGAGGGGTCCAGGAGCTAAGCAGAGATAAAGTATTAAAGTGGGGAACAAGGTAGAAAAGTGAAACAGACCTGGACAAGTTATCCTCTCTGCAGCTCATTTCCCTCCCTGTAGAGTCACTGAGATAACATCTGGGAAACACAGAGTATAGTGCAATTCACTCAATAGATTGCTATCATAGCAAAGCAAAAATACATGCTGTCTTAGCGAACAACTGCCTATTTATGAATAGTTCTCAACATAGACTTTCATTGCTTTTTCTGTCTTCTTTATTTAGGTGAAAAATGTTTCCTCCAGTGGCCTGAGTTTCTCATGTTCTGACAGAGAGAAAACTAGGAGGGTACACAGTTGATCAGGGCCCTCACCAACTCTAAGGTTCAGAGAACAAACTTGGGGTACATGAAACCTACCCACTCTTGCCCATCTACCTTTTTTTTTTTTTTGTGGACAACCAGCAGTGGTAGCGGGACCACAGATTCCAACAGCTGCAAACATATTTCCCAGTGAAATTTTCTTGTTTTAAATTGTATCTTTTTTCAAGCTAGCCTTACTTTCTAATACTGAATGATTTAGATTCACACCTCTTCAGATATATTATGTTACTACACCTTACCCACCACCAAAGCACCAATGATTCTTTTTTTTTTTTTAAAGATTTATTTATTTGTGCATACAGAACTGGGGTACAGGCCAGAGGCTCAGGGGCGGTGAGAGGCTTCACCAGAGACAGAGTGGGGAACAGAACAGGCAGATCAACGAAGTACACTGCTGAGGGGAGCAGCGGGCGGGTCAGGAGAGGTCTGCCACGCCATGTGGTCTCCTCCGGGGCAGGCGGGAATCGAACTCATGCGGAAGCGGCTTTAGATTCTCAGTGCTGTGATTTAACCCGCTGCGCCACCAGGGAGGGCCCGCACCAATGATTCTTATCTTTTAAATACTTCAGAATGTCAGATGCAAGGTCTGACCCCTGAATCCATTCATTTTCTCTTATTTTGTCAACTCACCTTCACCTGTGAGAGCTATCCTAAGACCCAAACATGCCCTCAGCTGCCTCCTTTCTATTCCATTTCAAACCACATCCTAGTTCCCTTCTCACTCAGTTATTATATTAAGCCATCTGTCATAAAGAACACCCTTTTAGCCAGCCAGCTCTTAACACTTATTTGTAATGCTTCTTAAAATCAATAATCACCTCTCTTAATATTGGTCTTCTCTCTGTCAAGTCTTTCAGGGTCAGTTTGATTTAAGAGGGCATCAGTATGAATTGAGATTATATTGTTCTGATTTCTACATAATTAATCATGCTGTGATCCTTTTTTAATAGGAAGAATTCAATTATGGGGACACCCTATTGCAGTAGACTGGGCAGAACCAGAAGTAGAAGTTGATGAAGACACAATGTCTTCAGTGAAAATCCTGTATGTAAGAAACTTAATGCTGTCTACCTCTGAAGAGATGATTGAGAAAGAATTCAACAACATTAAACCAGGTAGGACCAAACAGGAAGATTACCTTTTCAACATGTAGACTAAAGGTACTTATGTTTGAGATGATTTCCCATAACATTAAATATTTGTTGTATTAATGAATACATGTCCATTAATGCAAATCTAATGCAGGATTTCTCAAATTCAGTATCAATGACCAGATAATCTCAATCGTGAAGGTCTGTCCCCTGAATAACATCTGGAAAACACTGAGTATAGTGCAATTCACTTAATAGATTGCTATCATAGCAAAGCAAAAACACACGTTGTCATAGCTAAAAACCTGCTGTTTATGAATAGAATCATTAACAGTATCATCCCAGGCCTCTCCCAATTAAACGCCATAACGACTGCTGAGATATAAGATCCAAAATATTTTCAGACATTCTAAATGTACACAGGGGGAAGTGCAATGATGTAGAATCACCCCTATTAATGGTACAAAATATGTTTGTGACTTTAGTTACTTAAATAAGGAGATGGCAATTAATTTTAGGAGGCTCACTTGGATAAAGAGAATGGGTAAGGAACAGAGGAATGGGGGAGGGAAGTAGCTGCTATCCATCTTTTCAATACTTTTCAGTATCAATTCTAAGTTATGAGATTGATTCCCCATCTCTTTTTTCTCATATAGAACTACAACATAAAGACAAGTAAAGCATTTTAATAACCAGTGTATAAATAAGCTTTCCTTGAAGCTCACTCGGCAGAACATCAATATTCTGCAAATTGTTAGATGGAACTGATGAAAGGATTTCATAGTCAAATAAGTTTGCAAATACCTAGATCAGCAAAGTTAAGTAGATTTCTTTGTCATGGGCCTATTAGAGTGCTTACTATCTTAATATGTTTTTGAAAGTCTCCAAAAGTAGAATGCTTCATTTCCCAAACTTTTGGACCATTTCCCATTTTTTGGTAGATTATCTTCTGGGATGAGGGCATCTTAGAAAATACTCTGTGCACTACTGTGAAAACATCCTCCCATAAAGAAAGCATCCCTCCCTCCAGGTAATAACCCTCTAGGTCTTTGATAAGCATCCATGGCGCCATCATATTGAAACTCACTTTACTTACTTCACATAGTCACACTGCCTGTTCTACCTCTGGGTACTATGTCAGGTATATCAGAATAAGCTATTCTGTTACAATTATTTTATTTTTTAATGTTGTAATTATATATATATATATATATATATATATATATGCATACAGAACTGGGGTGCAGGCCAGAGGTGCAGGAGTGGTGAGTAGATTCACCAGAGACAGGATGGGGAGCACAACAGGCAGATTTACAAAGTACACTGCTGAGTAGAGCAGCAAGCAGGTCAGGAGAGGTCTGCCACGCCATGTGGATCACCTCCGGGGCAGGGGATCAAACTCACACTTAAGCGGCTGTGGCCAGCTTACAATGCTGTGCTTTAACCTGCTGTGACACCATGGAGGGCCCCTGTTACAACTCTTACAGAAGAAAATTAGTAAGGATATCATTCTCCTTCAGTTTCACCAAAGATCTTTTGCTAGCCTTTCGAACTCTGCCCCTCCTGTCATTTTACTACAACAATGGCTCCCGCCGTCAATCCATAACTAGTTAATCAAAAAACTGCAAATGTCTTATGGCCCTGCCATGTGTCCAGTGTAGAATGAGCTTTTTCAAAGTATGTTTCATTTATTCAGGGTCATTCAGGTAACAAACAAGTAGCAACTCCCAGATTTGAATGCAGGTCTAGTTACAAGTATCTTAACAATCCTTGAACCCCATGTTCCAACTATTCCATTCATTCATTTTATTCATTCAGTCATTTTCAGTAGCTCTTATGTGCCAGGCACTGTTGAAGAGTTAACAGGTATTTTATGTGTGTAGGAGTTGTTGATCCCCAGAGGGTGCTCCCTGGTGGCGCAACAGGTTAAAGTGCAGCACCATGAAGCCTTGGCAGCCACTGCAGCAAGAGTTCACCCCTGGTTAGGGGGGTTACGCATGTGGCATTGCAGACCTTTCCTGACCAGCCCACTGCTCCCTTTATCAGCGTACTCTGTCAAACTGCCTGCTCAGCTCCCCACTCTGACTCTGGCGAATCCTCTCATCCCCTGCACCTTTGGCCTGTACCCCAGTTCTATATGCATAAATAAATAAAATCTTTAATAAAAAGAAATCCCCCCAGAAAGAATTATAGTAATGTCAGCTTACTCTTCCAGAAAGTTGATGGAGTTGAAAACACAGAAACCAACATATGCCTGCATAAATATTGTTTCACAAACAAGCCCTCCATTTCATATTAACTTTCTACCTTTCCAGATGAGTGATACTTTAATACTTCTTATTTTTATCTAATTACCTTTTTTGGGAAAGGGCTAGCACAAGAAACTACCAAAAATGAGCTTCCTTTCATAGTCATATCAGCTTTCCCAGCCTGCCTATTGAAAAGAAACAGTCCCTACTAATTATAATGAAAGTAATGAATGCCAGATATGTTGCTTTCAAAAGTTTCCTTTCGGGCCTAAAGTGTGTACAGCTATTGCAGAGCTGGATCTGGTCACACAACTGTCAGGCTCTGTGATGATGCATGAATTATTTTTGGCATTTTGCAAAAGAACTTAAACTGCTGAGGTGAACAACTAGCAAACATCTGATGTGCTGGGAGGGAAAAGTCAAGAGCTACTTAGTTTCTTTTCCAGTGGAAGGGATGAATTCTTAAATATTTGGAAAAATTGTAGAAAGAAAACACGAAGATAGATCATTAAAATTTTCATTTAAGAACTGAATTCCAGGGCCTCCCTAGTGGTGCAAGGGGTTAAGTGTCAGCACTATAAAGCTATTGCCAGCCACTGCAGCATGAGCTTGATCCTAGCCAGGGAGTTGACCCACATTGGCATAAGCAGACTTGTCTTGTCTTGCCCACTGTTCCACTCAGCAGTGTATTACAGCCAATCCACCTATTCTGCTCCCTACTCTGTCTCTGGTGAATCCCTTCACCCACCCCACTCCTCTGGCCTGTGCCCCAATTCTTGTATGTATAAATAAAATAAAACTTGAATCCCTAAAAGGAACCTGAATATTCTTGGCAAATATTTGGCTATATATAATTTTAACCCCACTTAACCTGAAGGTATTATAATTCCATATAGAGAAGCAGATATCCATCAAAACAGGAAATGGGGATACAAGATAATAAGGTCTTTCCCAGTGTAGCCTAAGGGAATGTGCGGAAATTCCAATTAGATCATTCTATATATTCTGATTTTTCTTTAAAAGACAGTACATCAGAATTCCCCCAGACAGATGGCTGGTTCATCCCCAGGGCTTTTGATTCAGTAGGTCTAGACTGAGACACCAGCATTTGAATTTCTATTAAGTTCTAGAGAGCCCCAAACTTTGGAAACAGCAATCCTCTAGTCTCCCTCTACATTGTAACTGTTTGTCAGGTAATTGATGTGGCACTGACATGCTGATATTGAACAGTTACCTTTATCCAATTCCATGTTTTATGATTTTAAAGTCTTTTTAATCACTGCTGATGGATGATCACTGATAATGAGCATCAGTGTTTTACTACCCCTTCCTCTGCCTAGTGATAACCAATCAATAAACAAACTCCTATACATGGAATCAAAACATAATAAGTCATGTAGTGAATACTACCACATGGTAATAGAAAATTACTTTTTATGATATAAACTCTCACTTTCTAATTTACCCAATTTTTAAATTTTGAAGAATTAAGATTTCCAAAATACAAGTCCATTTCAGTATCTGTAAGCTGAATTTGAGAACACCTAAATCCATTATCATGTGAAATGCCACCTACCTAATATGGATGAGAGGAACTGGAGTGGAAGCTGACTGACTGTTCACTCATTCTATGTCTATTTATTGAGCAGTCCCTGTGTGGAAAGCACTGGGCAAGGTAAAGACAATGTAAGATGCCTTTAAAGCAGGCCCTGTTCTCAGGGACTAACAATCTAACAGAGACTTGTTGGGGGAGAAGTCTCAAGAAACAAATGAGAATAGACTGGTAGAGGTCCTGATAGGCGAAGCTTCTTACTTCTTAATTATCAAGACAATCCTCAGGATGGAGTCACTGTGACTAACTTACCCAACATTGGAGACCAAGTTGGAAGTTCAGTTCATTGCAAGCCTCACACTTAATAGTATCTTATTTCCTCCTGTGGCCAGACATTTGTGTGTGTGTGTGTGTGTGTGTGTGTGTAGCCATTATCAGAAAAAGCCAAAGGTTGAATGCTGCAGGGAGAGACAGAGGGAGTTTTGACCAAAATACTTCAAAACTATCCATACCTTATAGCCCTATCGTTATTCTAAAGGATGACAGTTTATATCCGCAGGATTATGTGATAGAAAACCTAATTGTCTTTGTGACATTGAATCTAAGAAAAGAAATAGAATGAGAATTGTGATAGGAAGACAAAGAAAGGAGTAGACCTAGTCCCTCTTCTGATCCTCCCCAGCATATTGTCCATTCCATGTTGTCTCCAGAAACTAAGGTAGGAGAAGGAAATGTAGTCTTTCAAGATACTCCCCACTGAATGCAAGTAAAGAGATTAAGTGACATACTAAAATGTTAAGTAAATTAATGGATGTTAAGTAAATTTCCATCTTACACTTAATTTAGGCAAAAAGTAACAAAAGTAAAACAAATAACATTTTAATGTTAAAATGTAAAACACAAACTTCAATTAGTTCTTAATGATCTTAACAGATTTATTTATATAGTATATGTTAGCATCTACATATATACCAACTCCTTTATATAAAAATAGGTTAGATTGATTTTTACTTTTTTGTTGCTATTCAAATAACTATTGCAAATATTTTAAAAATATCTATGAACATAGATTAAAATAGGAAAGTCCCCCTAGTTCATCTCAACTTTTCCCCTCATTTTTGAAGTAATTTGTATTGATAGTTTTGTTTCTTTCTAGTTTTTTTTTCTGTGTGTGAATTCACAGTTATGTATACATATCTATGGGTTGGAGTTTTTTAAACATACATGCTATAATGTCATACATATTTTGTATTTTTTTTTACTTATATTAGGTCTTGAATCTTTCTAGGTAAGCATACATACAGGTCTATTTTTTTAACAAATGTTCCAGATGCATCACTCTTGTGAAAATGGACATTAAGTTGTTTTATTTTTGTTATTTCAACAGTGGTGTAATATCCCTATGCATGATTCTTTTGCACATGTGTGATTACTTCTGTAAAAGACATTCCTCAAGGTAGAATTAGTGGAAATCTGCATTGCTTCCAAGCCTTAGCTATCATGAACAGCATGGTAAGGAACTATCTTGGTGGCCATATGTTCTCTCAGAAACCACTTTTTTTAATCGAGTATCAGAGAATCAGATAAGAGATTTGATTTGTAGTTCCTAGTTTTGTGAACTCGTGTATGTCACTTACTACAAACTTAGATTTATAATCTGTAAATTAAAAATGAAAAAATAGAGTAAAATGAATTCAAGAAAAATTAAAGTTACTCATTGCTAAAATTTCTCCTAACTCTAAAATGTTATTATATAAATCGAAAGAGATCATTTTTCTGGGGGGAAAGCCATGCATCTTAAAATGGTAATCACTTAAATATATACTTGTAAGATGATCAATAATTGAATTCAACTCAATCAACAAATATTGTACCACATATAAGTTACTATCTTTTACGTTATAGCATATAAGAGAAGACAATTTACTACTCTTAAAAACTTACCTAGAAAGTAGAAAATACAAATCCATAACATTATCAGCAGACAGAATATAGGTGTGATTAAAAAACTACAACTAAAGGCCCTCCCTGGTGGCGCAGCGGGTTAAAGCACAGCACTGAGAAGCTAAAGCCACTTCTGCATGAGTTCGATTCCCGCCTGCCCCGGAGGTGACCACATGGCATGGCAGACCTCTCCTGACCAGCCCGCTGCTCCCCTCAGCAGTGTACTTCGTAGATCTGCCTGTTCTGCTCCCCACTCTGTCTCTGGTGAAGCCTCTCGCCACCCCTGAGCCTCTGGCCTGTACCCCAGTTCTGTATGAACAAATAAATAAATTAAAAAAAAAAACTACAACTAAAATCTACTGAATGAGTAGAATTTTAAACACAAAATAATCTCAATGAGATCTTTTATCTAAGTGTTGTCTCCAATACAATATCAAATATTTCTGAAAACTTAATGCAAAATAAAATAGATAGTACTAACCCAATGTTGCTAACAAGACTACGTTACTCTATTACAGGTGCTGTGGAGAGGGTAAAGAAAATCCGAGACTATGCTTTTGTGCACTTTAGTAACCGAGAAGATGCAGTTGAAGCGATGAAAGCTTTAAATGGGAAGGTAATGAGGACAACTAAAAAATATGTATAGATCAGAAAAGTGATACATAGTGAAAATGTTTAAAAATGAACTTCTTTATATCCTTATTTGTATGTAGAAAATCAATAAAATATATACTTATCAATCCAATAAACATTAAGATGTTTTTGTAAACCACTTATTCTAAATAATGACTGGGATAGCATACAAAAAGAATCAAGCAAAAATGCTTATGAAGAGCTAAAATCCTGTCAGAGGAACAAAAAAGGTACACAAACTCCTTTTCAAGATACAGTCATGATTCATAGGAAAGATTAAAAGCAGTTAAGTATCTTCAGAGAAAGGAGAAGTGGGTCACAAAGAGTCAGAGAAGATAATATCTAAAGTAAACTATGAAGTTGGGTAGAATTCCACAAGAAAAAAAGAAGGGAAATGAGTGACACTCATAGAGGTACAGGATTTGGAAAGAACAAGATGATGACTACAGAACAGCGAAAGTAGGTCAATTTGGTTAGAGCAGGATGCAGGGGACTATGCATCAATCAGTCCTTCCAGAGACAGATGACAACACGACTAATCACAAAGATGTAGGCATTGAGCGGAAGGACTTAAAGTCATAGTCAGTACAGGAGCCAAAGACCCACTATAGTCTTGGTCAAAGACTGCATCTTCACTATAGTCTTAGTCAAAGAGCCAAGAATTGGAGAAGTCATGAGGACTCTAAAGGAGAAAGTGGTATAGGCCAGGTCTTTTTGAGGAAAGTAAAGATCTTTGGTATAAGGATGCAACCAGGCCAACGACCTTTCAGAGATGGAGCCACAGTACATGGCTGTACTTCTCAAAGGTATTCGTATACTTGCCTTGTTCCTCTGGTAGACTTTTGGTCCTTTGATAAGCATTTTCACTTTATTCTTTTTATATCCCATCATTATTTATTGTGGTAATTGAGTTACAAATTTTAACTATTTATTAGATTACAAGTAAATACTGTGGCTCAAACTCATTATAATCTCTCTCCAACCTCCTACCAGAGCTCCCCATTGGCTAAATTAAACCAGGAAGCCCCAGAAGCCCTGAGGAGAGGAATCCATGTAGAGAAACTCCCCACAGCTGAGACCAAAAGGAATTGGATAAGGAGGACATACAGAGAATCTCCCAATTTAGGCCCTTCAGACAATTTATCTACACACCTGAGCTTCTCTGGGGCTTACAGAAAAGTTTAAATACTTGGGGAGGAAGAAAGTACTGACTCCAGAATATAAAAAGATATCTGCAAAGCAAATGTTAATGCATAAACATATGTCCATGCAACAATAAATTATTTTATTTACAGTGATTATTACATTTAGTATCATAAATTCTTATTTGAAAACAATTTGTAGAATAGTGTTTTTCAATTTGAAAACTTTGCAGAGTATACATGATAACTGCTGAAAAAGGGTAGTCAATCATAAAGCAAATGCTAAATAATTAACTAGAATAATTACACTGGAAAAAATATTCATATTGTTCTCAATTTTTACAGCTATAGATATTTATAGCTAGATAATTTGTAGCAGTGTATATGTACATATAGAGTACATATACATTCAATATATATTCAATGTTATTAAATGTGTACGAAATGTTATAGCTATGTTTGTCTATAAAGTAGCATGGGAACATGCTTAGTTTTTGAGTGGATGGATATTTGCATTTAAATTATTATACAAGGTGAAGCATTGAAGTTTTTATGCAATGAATTAATGATGAAAGTTATAATTTAGAAGAATAATCAAATATAAGTTGAAGTTTAATTGGATAGTGAGAGCACTGTAATTAAAACTAGTGAAAAACTTAATACTTTCACCCAAATCATAAGGAATAAAAATTGAGAAAGGGTAGAATGGAATGCGGAAGAGAATACTACACAAGGCCATCAGGAACAAATCCAAAGATCCCAAAAACTGTTTGGATATAGGGTGAGAAAGAAGGATGAGTCATTGTTGGTTTTCAATAAGGGAAACTTCTTTGGAAAGGAAGTGATGAATTAAGCTTTGGACATGATTACTCACCAACTCTATAAATATCTAAAGTTTCTATGATGTTCAAGAAATTTTGCTGATGTTGGGGTTATACAGACTAAAAATAAATTGTTCTACCTCTTAAAATGTCTCCATCAAATAACTAAAATATAATACTAAATTTTAAGCATTCAAAATACCTCATGATATAAAGTGCCTTTAAACAGAGAACTTTTTGATCTCTACCTCAATATAAAGAATCTTATGTCCAAGATCCCCCCATTTCTTCAATATTGCAAGCTCATATTTTCTAATTACATCAACATCAAAATAAGATCACTGAGTACCTATCAGGTAGATTCTATCTCACATGCATTCCAACTAATGTATTTGTCATTGATCCTTGCTATGGAAGCAATAAGAATGTACAGAAACTAGGGAAACATTGCCCTAGAAGCTGACCAAAATGGTCTGGAGGACCACAGAGCACAAATTTGTCTAACAGACTTCAATATTCCAGAAGCTAGAGTATACAGTCTGTAGCTTTGAAGGGGAACTTTGGCAGGACACTCTGTATTAATTTTTTATTGCATACATAATAGAGGCCCATCATATTCTTACTGAAAAGAAGTCACAAATGTTTTCTCATAGCATACATCATCCTACCAAGCATCTCATAGCATACATCAACCTCTCAAGTGTCTGTGTGCCATTTTGATTTTTGTGTACACACTCATTTCAAAGGAGTCTCACATATAGATACACACAGAATCATTATCAACATCTGGAGCTGTTTGCAAAGTCAAACACTGGTGTCAGAAAGAACCGCTGCAGTAATTCTTAAGGCCAAGTTTTAAGTAATACTTGAGTTGAGGAAACCTCATCACTTCTCCCACCATCCCTGTTTGCACCTAATTGGTCAGCACATCAAAAGGTTGTACAAAGAAACAAAGACACAGGACATACATTGTCTGTGGGGACAATGCAATGGCTTCACATATTCCTTTTCCTCAAGCAGGGCTACACTGTTAGGCTCCCTTTCCAGTGAAAACTTGCCTACTACATAACTGCTTTAAGGAGCAAGCTTTTTAGCTGACTGGCTGTTGGAAAGGTCTAAATGGACTGTCCCAGGCCAAAGTGTTAAGAACTGATAATGGTTGATCTCTTCATTATTTCTCTTTTGCCTTAATTTTAGTGTGCTAGGCAGTGAAGATTACATTCCACCTAAAATTTATTAGAATTATATAAATCAATAATCATATATGTGTTTGTGTGTGTGTGTGTGTGCGTATGGATATATCTATACCACATTAAAAATATTAGCATAGGTTATTGACAGTTGGAAAGACATGGAATCAACCCAAATGCCCAAAAGTAGATGACTGGATGACTGGATTAAAAAGATGTGGTACATATACACAATGGAATGTTACTCAGCAACCAAAAAAAAAAAAAATGCCTTTTCTGGCAACAAGAGTGAAAAAGATCATGCTTAGTGAAATAAGCCAGAAAGTAAAGGAAAAATACCGGATGGTCTCACTCATAGCAGGAGTATAAAGGACCAGGAGAGACAGTAATAATAATAATGAACAGCTATATACCAGAGACATTTTACAGGGGTGGAGTGGGGAATGGGATCAAAAATTGGGGTGGGGGGAAGTGCACTGGACTATGGTGATGGCACATGGGTGATTTGGTCATGGGAAGCCCACGAGGCTTACAACTGAGATGGAAAAAGGCACAAAATGATGTAAAAATAAACTATTATTGAAAAAAAAATTAACATGGGGCTCTCTCTGGTGGCACAGTGGGTTAAAGCACTACATTATGAAGCTCTCCTAAGCCACTGCAGCACATGTTCAAGTCCTGGCTAGGGAGCTGACCCATATGGCATGGCAGGCCTCTCCTGACCCCACTGCTGCCCCCCTCAGCAGTGTACTCTGTCAGTCTGCCTGTTCTGTGCCCCTCTCTGTCTCTGGTGAATCCTCCCACCACCCCACGCTTGCACCTCTGGTCTGCCTGTATCCCAGTTCTGTAAGCATAAATAAATAAATCTTAAAAATATATTCACATAATTCAGGTAATAAATTTATAACCAATGTCGATAGTGGCCACTATGTCACCTTGTTGGCAACACCAACAGTGGCCAAAAGCAGGTTGGCAGGCACTGACCACACTTTATAGCCAACATGGCGACAAATAATCAAACACTTAAAAGGAGATAATGCAGCTCAAAGACACTTGGCTGTTCTCATGTTTTCTTAATTTTCCTTTTCTCTCTACAACAGGTTCTGGATGGGTCCCCCATAGAGGTGACCCTAGCCAAACCAGTGGACAAGGACAGCTACGTTAGGTACACCCGTGGCACAGGTGGAAGGGGCACCATGCTTCAAGGAGAGTACACCTATTCCTTCGGCCCTGTTTATGATCCCACAGCAGCCTACCTTGGTGCTCCTGTCTTCTATGCCCCCCAACCTTACACAGCAATCCCCAGCCTTCACTTCCCAGCCACCAAAGGACATCTTGGCAGCAGGGCTATTATCCGAGCCCCTTCTGTGAGAGGTAACACTAGTCCTCTCTTTCCTATAGGAACTTGAAGATTTCAAATGATTTGCATTGTCATAGCCTTAGACAAATTGGGTCCACTGGGAGAAAGGAGCTAGAAAATTGTTGATTAAAAAAATCAAATACTGTATCAATAATGCTCTATCCATAGGAATCTCTTTCACATTACAACTGGTTATTGAAAAAACTTGGCCAGAAGATAGTACAAATGAGTCTGATACCCACGCTTGATGCTTACATGGATCCATAAGATGTTCAGAAACTAACACTCAGTTCCACAATTGCTAGCTTCTCTCTTCTCACTGGACCTCATTGTTGCAATTATATGTGATTTGTTACAAAATTTCCAAGTAAGAGAAATATGGTCACGGTAAAACAGTTCACAGTACAAACAGTTCAAAGGGCATGCATTTGATGGTGGTTCAGTGGCATCATCTTAAAATGGAAATAACTAGTCATCATAAATATGTTCTAAGATAGGAACTCTCTAACCTGACCTCCTCCAAGAAATATATACTATACCTTCTAAAAGCCTCTCTATTAAGGAAATAAACATGGGAAACGAAATAGTAAAGTTCAAATAGGGGGAAAAGTAGCTCCATCAAACTGCCAAACAGGAAGTCTTGAACACTGTATAAAATCTAAATGTTCAGTTTTTCTGAGCTTAATTGATTCAAGCAATTGAATTGGTTCAAATAGAAAATTTACTTTTATTTCCCAAAAAAAAACTAGTTTGTGTCTGCTTATAAGATCCTTCAAAATGATCCTGCTAGAATGTGGCATACGCCAACAGACTCATTCTATCCTTCAACTAGGACACCAGTCGAGGTAATTCAACAATAAATTGTTTAAATATTTTCTTGGGTTTAATGTAGAAGAACAGGGACATGTTTGTCAAAACAGTTACTATACCATATTTTACTGTTTTTCAGGAGAACTGAATTAACCATCCTAGGAGCTATAATCTTCAATAGCATAAAAATTCCATATTCATAATATAATCACTCCACCAACAATGAGAATGCAAAAGAAGTAATCAGCATTTCATTAAAGATAATCCACCTATAGGATCATGAACTATGTCATTAAAACATTATGCCTTTATAACCTAACATCACATCACTTAAGCATAAGTTGTAAATACACATTATATACAAGTTATAAACCAGTTGTAATGTAGGGGGGGAAAAAAAAAAAAGCTCTACTCCAAAGGAGGGAATATATCTGTTTTATAACAAGAAAAAAATCAATGAATGATATTCATGGATTAAGGGTAATCAATTTAAAATTTTTATCTTTTCATGCCACAAATAGGAAATCAAAGTTACAATGTGGCAAAGCAAAAAAATCAAAAGGAATCTATGAATGAAACTCAATGTAAATGTAAACCTTACATTGCCAGAACATAAAAGAGAGAATGGTAAATTCAAAAACAAGTTTTCTGAATGTTGGTTTTCCAACAGGTCATTGGGATGGAATTATTGGAGAAGCTAAATTTTTTGGTTTTACCATTTGATAACAAAAATGTAAGACTAATTTTAACACACATGGTGTCATATACAGTGGGATACTTAATTCACATCTTCCTGATACTAATTACAGAAAAATATCAATAAGAGTAACTGAAGACAGTAATTCAAAATGTTTTTCTGTGCCAAAGTTTTAAAGTTGGTCACATATATATATCAATAACTTTGATGACATTGCTTTCTTTGATAATTTTTTTAATCTATGGTATATAACTTATGTTGAGTTTCATTATATTAGAATCCTAGAGTTTTCTACCCATCTTCAGAGCAATAATCAATGTGACATGGGCTAACTTTTCCATTACAGTAAGATTCAGGGTGATTTTCTGGTGGTTTGATTCAGTTTAATGCCTTCTTACATTCCTAGAAATTTACATGAATGTACCTGTAGGGGCTGCGGGAGTGAGAGGACTGGGCGGCCGTGGCTATTTGGCATACACAGGCCTGGGTCGTGGATACCAGGTGAAAGGAGACAAGAGAGAAGACAAACTCTTTGATCTTTTACCTGGGATGGAGCTCACCCCAATGAATCCTGTCACTTTAAAGCCTCAAGGAATTAAACTTGCTCCCCAGGTAGGTGATGTTATTCCAGGGACAGATTGTTTAACACAGGCCAAAGACCATTTATTACCTTATTTGCCTTGATCGCTACTTGGACTTCTGTTTTGCTAAACAGATTTAGTGACCAGGCAAAGTAATGTACAGTGGTAGAAGATGGTTGGTAAGTACATTACTCTAATAGACATTCCTTTTCCTTTTCATAAAGTTTGAAACCAAAAATCATCTTTTACTGAAATGCAAATATCTTGAGAGCTATTAAGATTTAACCCATACCTAAAACGGAAATAATATGTAGTGAAGACCATTAACTCAGAATAAATACCAGTTATGTGTGATCCAGTTTATTCAACAAATGAAGAATATTTATGACAAGGAATGAATAGACCATTTACGTTTTTGTTTTTTTTTTTTTTTTTGAAAACAATGTTTAAAAGAAAACACCTTGTTATCTATGGCAATATCTTGAGTTAAAAAGCAAACAAAAGAATCTAACTGGAGTGCTAGGACATGGAGAAATCTTTTAAGAAAATAACAATAACTGTATATCTTGGACAATAGTTCTAATGTCATAGTGATCTCTGCTTTTTTAATTATTAAGGCCAGGTTGGAAATTAGTCATGCTTTATTTTACAGTATGAAGAATCTTCTCTATCAACTAATTAAAATTCCTTCATTTTTTCTGTGAGTTTCTATAGCTGTGACTTAGAAACTGAAAATTATCCCAGAGTGGAATTATGAGCTCCCAAAAAGGGCCGAGGGAAACGTATTACCCTGCAGTTTCTACTTAAAAGCCTATCTTCCTGTAGCAAGTGTTTGCACCATGGGAATAAACAGGAAAGCAAGCATATCCCTCTGTGAATTTACTATTTTATAGTTTACTTTTACACAGGAACCTTTGAAAGACTTTGTACATGACAAGAGGTGCAACAAAACTAAGAGTATTAAAATATTCATAGAAAAAAATAGAGGCAACCTACAATTTAATAAACTTGAACATGGCATGCTACAAAGCTTTCTAGATTCATCCTTGGGGCATCATACCATCCCACGGTTATTTATTCAAATGTATGCATATTTTGCAAAGCTAGTTTGCACAGTTTACTGAATCTGTTGACTAATAGGAGCATGAGTGTCTGTGAACTACCAAAAATGGTTTTAGGGATGAAGAAAATATGTGCCTTTAGGAAAAACTATGTTTGGAGTAATGATACAAGGACAAACATACAGGAAGATGCTAAAAATCAGACAACTGTAAAAACTGCCAGAAGTAGGTTTTGTCGGAGACAATGTGAGTGAGCATCAACACCCATGTATTAATGCTCATCAATAAATATTAAACCCATTAAACTTTTTAACTAACTTTTGAAAATGTGAAGTTAAAACTCCATGACAAATGACAAGAATATACTCTTATGTTATATAAGAATATATTCTTATGTTATCTTCTCTAAGCCATTATAAATAGAAAGACTGGGGTAATGATGAGTAAATCTAGAAACACTGTGGGAAATATAATTTTCTAAAATGGAATAATATGTCAAACAAATGGTAAAATTAAACTCTTGGGGGAAAAGTTAAGCCTAATGGACTAAACTAAAACCATTAGAGTAAATGCTGTAAAAATTATTTTATGAATTAGCAGACAGGATTTTAAATGGAGTTCAAATTGAGTTCATTTGAAATTTTGTAAGTCATTAAATTACATGGCATTTTATATCTTCTTATATTAGCTTAAACTGAGATTTGAGTTTAAATACCTGAATGCTGGAGGAATAGTACAAATGTGACATTTGAGTGAAGAAATCTTTTTTTTTTTTTAACTATTACAGATATTAGAAGAACTCTGTCAGAAAAATAACTGGGGCCAGCCAGTGTATCAGCTGCACTCTGCCATTGGACAAGACCAAAGACAACTGTTCTTATATAAAATAACCATTCCAGCTCTGGCCAGTCAGAACCCGGCAATGTGTGTAATGCCTCCAAATTCCTAAATAATTTAGATGTTTAGAATATGAGTGTCTTAGAAATGAAGCATATTTTGTGACTCTCTAAACATGAGCCTACTCATTTTTCCTTAAATGAAAATGCAGAAATGTGTATTTGAAATGTATGTGCTGCCTGAAAGATTGCTATTTAAAAGATCTTCAATTTCTTATAATACTACTATATAGAATAAGTAGTGAAGTGGGAAACAGTGAAGCGTAAAAATGGGATAGAATCAAAACTATAGTCCATTCTCTTATCTGTCTGAACCATAGGAAATAGCTAGTTTTATCCATAATATTGTGTATGTCATTTAAATTTGGGGCCAAACATATGACCTCACAGTTAATGGATATCACCTTATGAATTTTACTTTGAGTTTGTATTTCTACATATTTTAGGAGCCAATGTTCTTAGAAAATATTCTTAGAAAACCATATAGTGATGAGTTACAATATTCTCTGAAGTCATACCATACAACTATCAAAATTGTAGATCATTTCACAAACATTCCTACGTGCATGTGCATTTAGAAGATTTACTAGCAAAGAGAATGAAAAATATCCACCAAAAAATCCAGTATCTGATCACCTTTAACAGTTAAGTAGCACCTTAGGTTTTCACTTTTGTCATAAGTTTAAAACACCTACCGTGACTATGCTTTCCAGCCATCCTTTCACACCGCCAAAGCTAAGTGCCTATGTGGATGAAGCAAAGACTTACGCCGCGGAGTACACCCTGCAGACCCTAGGCATCCCATCCGAGGGGACGGATGCTCCGACTGCAGCTGCTGCTGCTGTTGCTTCTGCTGCTGCTTTTCCAGGTATGGAAAAAATTGTGCCTGCAGTGGCACCTGTAGAGAGTGTTTGGAAAGCCTTCTTTAGGACCATGTACTAATAGAGTTGTTTGTGAACTTCACCAGCAGTAAATCTGATTTACATCAGTGGTGATAGAAATGAATGTACCACAAAGTATGAGCAAAGAGAATGGAGCAGAGAGTGAAAGTCAGGTCTCCTTTCCACTTACTTGTTTTTGTTGTTGTTGTTGTTGTTTGTTTGTTTGTTTGTTTTTAAGATTTATTTATTTATGCATACAGAACTCAGGTACAGGCCAGAGGTACAGGGGCGGTAAGAGGCTTCACCAAAGAGAGTGGGGCGCAGAACAGGCAGATCAACGAAGTACACTGCTAAAGGGAGCAGTGGGTGAAACAGAAGAGGTCTGCTGTGCCATGTGGGTCACTTCCAGGGTCCAGAATGGAACTCACATGAAGCAGCTATGGCTAGCTTGCAGTGCTGCATCCTAGCTGGTTGCACCACCAGGGAGGGCCCATCTTTACTTAGTTTTAAAGCAGCTGTGTGATATCAGATGAGTCAACTCTGCATCTGATCTGTTTTGATTTTTGGCTTTTAATTTTAGTAAAAGAATTCTGATATTTATTTCAACACTACATGACAGGCACTCTGCTACATACCCATTATGCTGTTACCTGAGTAATGTTCATGACGTCACAAGAGATAGGTTCAATTCTTGTGCCCATTGTGCAGATGAAGAAACCAGGTGCTAGAAAGATTAAGGTCAAGCAGCTTTTAAATAATCTTTGGGCTCCCGCTTCAATCCCAATCCTTGATTCTACTTTTATTATTTTGCATTCTGAAGAAAATGCACAAATCACATTTTTTTTAAATTACTTTAAGTAAGAAATGTGTGTGAGTGCGTGGGGTTGGGAGAGTTCTTTCACTATGTGGGTAATCACCTCATTTTTTATCTTGGTCAGAAGCATATCCTGATTTCTTAAAATAATGCCTATGACCCTGAAGATTGGCAAACCTTCCAGGTCATATTTAGAAGCTGTTCTTCCACTTATAATGTGCCCACAACAAATGCTTGTTATTAAAGATAAACTAACTAGAGAGTAAAAATTTTTTTTGAAAACTTTCTTTTACTATATAACTATTATATTTTAGAAATAGATGTTATTTTTTTCCTTTTGAAGAAATGTATCATTCTAACTTCTTGTACTGACATAGCCCTCAGAAGCCTAAATCAGAGAATTTTTCTAGACATACAAATAGGACATTCCTATTGATTGATTCAAATGTTAGCCAGGACTGAATGTTAAGAACTATAGTCTTCAAATCTGTAACATCTGTCTGGGACTCCTTTTGTTTTCTTTTACTTCTCAAAAATTACTAATATATCCTCCATCCAGGCAAGTGAAGTTGAAACTAATCATGTTTCACATTCAGCTTACAGTCTGCTTCATACTGTAGAATGTGGTGAAGGTGTGTGACCCCTACAAGGTTATCAGAACAACATGTGTCAGAACAGAGAGCAAGGTCCCCCCTGGATAGTGTTGGGGTCATTAACCCCAGTGCTTATTTTCCATAAAACCGAATGTTAACATGCCCATCACTGGGGATTTGAGCCAGAGCTGCTCATCCTTGGAGAAAGTAACCCTCTCGCAGAAAGCTGCACACAAGGACACTTAGCTGTGTACTATATAAATAAATAGCCATTGTCTGGAAAATTCTAGAATTTGCTTTCACATTGGAAAGGATTTATTTTTTCCTGAGAATGTTTTATCATATTATCCCTTCTATTTGTGCCTACAATAAGTTAAAAATACTGAGGGCATAAAATGTTTTTTGGGAAATGCCTAACAATTGGAGATCGTCTCCCAAACTTTGCTGTAGACTCAAGCAAAGGTTATTGGGCTCCAAGGATTCTGTTTGAAACACAAATATTGGTTAAATTAACCAAATGAAAATGAAAATTCAAATACCCTAAATATAAAATCTTGCCTACACACACACACACACACACACACACACACATACACACACACACAAGCATATAATTAGAAATGCTGTTTCAAAATATGGAGCAGTAATTGTGTGCACATTGCTCAGATCCTTGGGAAATGTACCAAACTTTACTAATGTTTTAGTCAGCATTAGTGCCCAAAGCGAATGAGCCAAGAAGTAGATTCCATTTTTTTAATAGTCCACTAAGCTTCCTGCCACCATTTCCTGAGAAACCACCAGAAAAAAAATCAATGTATCAGGGGTTGGGCAGACTTCCACAGCACATAAACCAAATGGGCTTTACTTTAAATATGCTTCAGTATATTTTCCCTCTTTTTGTTATCTTAGACAAGTTTGGATTGTGTAAGAAATATCCAAGTTTCAGTGTAAAACATTTATGGAAATATGCTTTTAAATAATAGCTGTCATGCTCTCTTCTTCAAAAGTGAATATTAACCAGCTATACACAATACTAACATGAAAACAGACAAACATTTGTCTTATCACTCAAACCCCCTGTCTCTAAAGGTCAGGAGACATCAAGCCTTCCAAATACACCTCAGACAATTTGACTGTAGGGATGAAAATGATGCTGTTGCCACTCACAGTTAGGTCTAAAGGTGAACAGGCTAGGTAATGCATTCATTATAATTTATTTATATGTGTGTGTGTGTGTGTATTTTAAATTAAGGTAATGTTGGTTTACAATACTGGACATGATTTAGAAATATAGGATCTGCTTTAGGTATTTGATTTTTTGGTGCTATTAAATACAATATCACTGATAGATAGTAAACTAGAATTTCTTCCACCAGTCTATCTAATGCCTGCACATCTTTCTAGGTAAAAGCAATGGTTTTTAACCTTTTATTTGGGGATGGGAGGTGTGCGGTGTGCGGTGTGCATCAGATCCAGATTCCAGAACTCCTGCTACTATGCCCTGCCAATTCACTAATTGCTTCCCTCCTTTATAAATTGAAACCCTCTGAAAAAGTTCTAAATTATGGGTGGTTTTTTTTTTAAGGTTTATTTATTTATTTTAAAGATTTATTTATTTATTCATACAAAACTGGGGTACAGGCCAGAGATGCGGAGGGTGAGAGGATTCACCAGGGACAGAGTGGGGAGCAGAACAGGCAGATCCATGAAGTACACTGCTGAGGGGAGCAGCGGGCGGGTCAGGAGAGGTCTGCCACGCCATGTGGTCTCCTCCTGGGCAGGCGGGAATCGAACTCATGCGGAAGCGGCTTAAGCTTCTTAGTGCAGTGCTTTAACCCGCTGTGCCACCAGGGAGGGCCAAGATTTATTTATTTTTAAAGTAAATATGCCTGTTTGAATAGGTGTGCTCAGGTCTGGTCAGTCCTCATATCTAGAGTTAGTGACTTTTAAAATGGCATTTGAAAGTCCCAGTTTAGTCTTCCTGAAAGTATGGACAGCCATCAGTCAGAATCACCTCACACTTAGAAAATCAGAAACAGTGGAGGCAGGTGTTAAGAGACAGACACTTAACAAAGGATGCTGGGTTCATGAAAATCTGTAATTTAGAGGGCTCTCCCTGGTGGGAGATACAAGATCCGGGGTACAGAGGTGCAATGGGTGAGAGGATTCATCAGAGACACAGCGAGGAGCAGAACAGGCTAACTGAAAGACACCGAGAGGAACAGCGGGTCGGGCAGGTGAGGTCTGCTGTGCCATATGGGTCACCTCCCTGGCTAGGAATCAAACTCATGCTGCAGTGACTGCAGAGAACTTTATAGTGCTGTGCTTTAACTGTACACCAGGGAGTGTACTCTAAATTACAGGTTTTAACGAACTCAGCATCCTTTAAGTGTCCACCTCTTACCACCTACCTCCATTGCTTCTAATTTTCTAAGTATGAGATAATTCTGACCGATAGCTGACCACACTTTCAGGAAGACTGAACTAGGACTCTCAAATGCCATTTTAAAAGTCACTAAGCCTAGATAAAGGGACTGACCAGACCTGAGCACACCTATTCAAGCAGACATATTTACTGTGAAAAAGACATTATGTAAAGTGTTCACAATCCAAAAGGAAGCAAATGTGAATTCCTTCCATGATGGTTTTCTGTGCCTCCTCCTTCAGGATATGCCGTCCCCAGTGCCACAGCACCCGTGTCTGCTGCCCAGCTCAAACAAGCAGTGACCCTTGGACAAGACTTAGCGGCATACACAACATACGAGGTCTACCCCACTTTTGCAGTAACTGCCCGAGGAGATGGATATGGAACCTTCTGAAGATACTTTTTAAAAACTTTCCAATAAGAATCAGACCAACGAAACTCTATCTGGAAGAAATAAACTTCTAACTCAGTCCCCTAATGATCACAAGTAACACTTTTCCTGAAGTAACACCTTTCCTGCAACTCTGCAGTGTACCCTAATCGTAGAATCCCAACCATGAGAATGTTATTCCTAAAGAAATCAAAAGTTAAGGAGCTTTGTGTCTGATACAGAACTAAAGAGCCCTAATCCCCAAAAGTTGTTCTTCCAAGAGTCTTGAGCAGCCTGGAGGTCTGTTTACAAATCCTGACAGAAGGGAGAGATCTTTCACTCAACTGGATTTCAGAGGCTGACAAGTCTGAGCAGCCAGTTACAACAGAGGAAGCCAAGTAAACATTCAAGTTGTAGCTGCTGACTCAGCTGCCCTGTGATAACACAAAGTCACAAAAGGCAGAAGGGGTATGTTTGCAGATTCAGGAAACATTGTCCAGGCTTTAATGGAGCCAGTATCATTTTGGTCTGAAAATGTCATCCAGTCAAGTTGTTATAGGTCAGCAACTCTCTGCCCTCTGCAGCCCCTGGGGACTTCCTGGAAACTGCTGTGATGTGCTACAGATATGGTTGTGACAAGACAAGACCCATCGTTTATTAAACTCATTAGGCCATGTGCATTTTTCCTGGATTGCCTACCCTGCCCAAGGTTCCCCACAGCAAAACTGGCTGAAAAGTCATTCCAGAAAGTTAAGATTTACTCTTACTTATCTCTCTGCAGCCTGCAGACCACCATCCAGCATCCAACAACAGTTCTATTAACTTGGGTTCAGCCTTCAACTATCTAATCCATTTAATATTAAACCTGTCAAGAAATTCTCTTCCTACCCCTTCTTTTATTGGTGATAAGTATCAGACAGCTTTGGTATCATAGCAGGCCTTAGGTCTTGAAACTGTCACAGGAAAAGTTACAACCTTTGCTGCTTATCAGTAGCACCTTCAGGGTGTTATTTACCCAAGGCCCCAGTATTATGCCTCTTCCAGAAATAGCTCAGGTTGGTGATGTGTTAAACTGTGATAGAGGGAAGAGAAGATACTGCGATACTGCTTTCTGCTCCGTACTTGTAAAACATTGTTTTTTTTCCCCCTAAACAGAAATAATCAAAGCCCAAATAATAATATGACTGCTCTAATTTCATTAGTGGTTTAAGACATATATTACTAGAATTTCCACTTAAAAAAACCTTGTCCTATGTGAAATTCAGCAGAACACATGGGAACACTTACACACAAAGGTATTGAAAAGTTTGTGAGCTCTTGAATGGAATTTTGTGATCTGAAATCAATCCAGACTCCAATCAAAAAGGGGTAAATGTCAACAGTAAGTCCTGACAATCTTTCAGTTCTCTTAACTCCAGATCGCAAATGCCTCAAAGTAATAGACAGCTGAAATACTGGAAAATATTGTGTTTTCAGCTTGACATTTTACTTCTAATTTTCCCTGGGGTACATACTCAAACTTAGAAATATGTGGAGAGCTTTTCAAACTCCCAATGTCAAGATTATACCTCCAAGCAATTTCATCAGACTGTCCAGGGGTTGAATCCTGAACAGATAACTTTTAAGGATATTTAGATGATGCAAACGTGCAACTAAGTTGGGAATGACTATAATCTTTATTATTTCCCCTTAATATTTTTCTTTTTTCACATTTTTGGAAAACGAAAAAATACAAAAACAATGTCTAAGTTAAAGCAAATAACTAAGCCATATTTTTATATATATTTATCTCATAGGAAGCATGAATTTGAATTCACTTAGGCTTCAAACTAAATCTTGGATCAAACTAATTCTAAAAAATAAGAAAAATCCCTTATTAAACAATTCTTAGTTTCAAATTCATATTTCCCTCTCCACCTCCTCCCTCTCCCCCACCACAGACCTGCTTTAATTTTCAGACAGTCATTACCTAGGCAGCAGACAAATTCCTACTAAGTCCTAATAAGTATTCTAAATTCCAAGAACAAAAGTCTTGATGTTATTTAAAATCCTTGAAAATAAATGGAAGAGAGTACTCTGCATGAATAATCAATGTAAAACAGAAGGTTTGAGCCAAAGAAGTTTTAAATTTAATTAAAATTAACAAGTAGTAAATACAGGAATCTCTTTATGAGAAAAATTATCCATTCAGGTGAAATCATAGTTATGTATTATAAAAGTTAAATAGAGAAACTTAAGCAGACAATAATACCAAACCATGAAGAAAATCACTGGAACACCATCTTAATACTTGTCCCAGAAAAGTGGAAGTATTCATGATATTTACCTCCTAAGGACTGATTTTATTTGAGTAGATATGATTTTATTTATTTATTGAAATATTACCTCATTCTAGCAAAAATCTACAAAATACTTTAAATTCCATTAAAACATAATCATAGAAAGCATCACATTATCTATTAAGCCATATGCTTTATTTACTTTGTCCAAGTTAACTGACATAGCACAAGTCTTGCTTAGATGAGTTAGGAAAAAAAAAATCAGACTTTTAAGAAGCAAGTAGAACCACAGGGTTTTGTTGTTTATTGGTTGTTTCTTTTTTGTTTTTGTTTTGTTTTGTTTTTGTCTGATATTTATATTTGAGGTCTTTTGAAATTATCACATTTTAAATACCTATAATAACTTATGCATCAATATTTGTTTTTCTGTTATTTCTTCATTGCTTCCTAGTAAACAAATCTTCATAAAAAATTAGTCAATCAACCAAGTGATAATAACAAAATACCCAAGCCAATAATTTAGGAACATCAAGGAAATTAGAACTGGGTTCTAAATTTTAGTAATTAATGAGTGTCTCAGTGAGGATTAAAATCAGCCAGTCTTACATAGGAAGAACTAAACAACAGTGAGATTTGATATTTATTTTATTACCTTTATTACCTGTAGAAATGCTGCCTTTTCTCAAATTGCTGTTCCTTCTACCCTACTAGAAGATCTAGAAAATTACCCCCACCCAAAACTGCTCTCATTAGTGAAATTATTAGGGAAATGAGATTTTTTCCTATTCCACCTGCTATTTTTTAACTTATGAAGGAGAACACACTTTAATTTTTAAATAAAGGACAAGAAAGGATGTCTTATATAAACCTTCACCTAAAGCGTATGTTGCCATTTTACCTTTTCTGTATTTTACAAATTTGCCCAACAGTTAATTTAACTTTGCCATTATGATTACTTATCCACTATTCTTCACATACACACACACACACACACACACACAACACTTGTATTTTCCCAAATAAAGTTATTATTATTTGTAATGGAAAAATAACATTGACAGATATTTCCCCTTTTTATAGAACTTAGTTTTCCTTTATTTCCTTTACTAATATTGAGAATTAAGCAAACTTGACAGTCTCTATTACTATTAACTCCCAAAGCTATTCTTCATAGAATGTGCATCAGTCTGTGTTTACTATGCACCAACTCTTATGCTAGAAACTGTGAATGCAGATATATTTTTCTATTTCTTTCCTCAATGGAGTTCACAGTGTAGTAGCCCATTCTCACCATTTTTTAGAACTGATAATAAATATCCTCATTTAAGTGCATCATCTGGTATCACTTAGTCAGAATCCCAAAAATAAACCAACTCTATTCTAAACTTTTAGTTTCCACTATTACTGCCAAATGCTAGGTTGGTATAATAAGCTTTTTAAAGATCAGTTAAATGCCTGAACTATTATTCATATTTAAATAAAGTGAGTTTTCAAATGTTTTCCCCAGGAGAAATAAAAAAAAAACTATATGCAAATAAAAAAATTTCATTAGAAATTCAAGAGCTTTAAAGCATGAATTGACAAAATCACATATACATTTACGATACCACTGAGCAGGTACCCATAAATTGTATTTATTTGAAAACATTTTGGTCATTAACTATTTCTGTTATCTAAATATAGGTGTGCTTATAAAATTTAAAACTCTATTTAACAAATATTACTATACCTATGTTTTTGAATTAATTTTTTTTGCAAGAAATAAGCATCCTTTTACCAAATGCAAACAATATTTTACTATTAGTCCTGAGAGACCTTTGGGCTCACAGCCTGCAGATAAATCTTTTTAAAACAATCTACCATTACATAATTTTGAATGTAATTGTTGGTATTGTATCCTATGCCTTCATGACTTTTCTACCTTTCCTTACTGTACTTTAACCACATCTTATTATCTCCTACCTCTTAATGAAGGCAAACTGTCAACAAATTGCATTTCTGGTTTCTAGGTGTTAAAAAATCTCATGCTTTGTTTCTTTTTGTTATTACTGACTTTATTTATGTGAAGTTCTTTAGCTGATACCAAGAGACAAAAACAGTATTAACAAGTGTTCATAAAGCACTTATTTTTGTACTTTGAGTACAATGTTTTATAGAATTCTCTGATCTATCTAAATACATTAAGCAAAATTACACTATTTGTTCAATGGGAAAATAAAAATTGGTTTGGAAGATATAAACATAATGGGCACTGTAGAATCATCAATCACATGAAATGAAAAATAATGCAATATTGTGATGATTAGTGTAATTCCAGGATGTTGAAATGATTTTAATTGAATTTTCAAGTACCATTATAAAGTTTTTAAAAGTATTAACATGAGTTGCTAACTTTTTTTCCAAAAATGAAAGTTTTATTATTTTTGAGTAAATACCAGACAATTAATGACCCATAATTGCAATGTCCTTTTGGTGATTTGGTGAATTTACGTTTCATCTTTTATAAGTACTCCCTCTTGTGCAGCTTCTGAGAGTAAAGATAACTCTCAAAATACAATGGAGGGTATTATTTTCCAATCAATAAATCTATAAGAGAAATACTCAAAACTGAAGATGAAAAGACATGGTTCCATGAAGGGGAAAGTCTCTCAAGTCAGCACCTGCCTATCCCTAATGGATGAGAACAGGATAAACTGTCTCCCAGGGCCAAGACCAGCCGTTTAACTCTGGTTACTCTCTGAGATAACAATGATTGTTACAGGTTCAAAGGATTGAGCTAAACTTTTATCTCCATTTTAAAAAGCTGTTATTTTAAAAAGGAAGGAAGACTTTGT